GGTGTGGAGGTTACTTGACAGTCTGTGAGACCAGCTCGACCAAGAAGATCGGAGATATACTTACCTTGGGACAGAAAGAAACCATCGGGAGAATCAAAGACTTCAAGCCCCAAAAGGTAACGAATAGGACCCAAGCTCTTTATCTCAAACTGCTGGCTAAGATATGTCTGTAGATCATAAATACTAGTTGTATCATCTCCCGTGGTGATCATATCATCAACATAAAATAAGAGTATCGTTATCCCAAATGAAGAACGACGAAGAAATAAACCAAAGTCGTAAGCACATGTGGTAAAACCAAACTCCAGTAGTGCAGCGCTAAATGTGGCATACCAAGCCCTAAGGGCCTGCTTCAACCCGTATAAAGCACGGTGTAAGCGACAAACTTTTCCAGAAGACGAGAAACCTGGAGAAGGGGTCATATAAACTTCTTCAGAAAGTGTGCCATATAGGAATGCATTCTTGACATCTAACTGAAGAAGGAACCACTGACGAACAGCCGCAACGGCAAGAAGACAATAAACAGTAGTGAGACGAGCAACGGGAGCAAAGGTCTCCTCAAAGTCAATTCCATACTCCTAGGAATAACCTTTGGCCACTGTAATGCTCAATGGAACCATCAGAGTGTGTCTTGATTTTAAAAATCCAATTGCACCTAATAGGGGTTTTGCCATAGGGCAAATCCACTAAATCCCAAGTGTGAGTTTTTTCCAAAGCCTACAATTCCTTAGTCATAGCTTGCGGTTAAAATAGATCAGCATTCGCCTCATAAAAGGACCTTGGTTCATGATGAGATAAAATGATAAGAGTAACAATGGTAATCATTAAGATGAGAATGAGGTTTATTTACATGAGTGGAGTGACGACAAGTAGGGAGAGGCACAGGCGGATCAACTTCAGGAGATGGTGACAAGATAGATTGATCAATAAGTTGTGGCGATGAAGAGGAAGAGGTGTTTGGGAAGAGATAAGAGAGAGAGAGAGAAGACGAAAAGAAGAGAGAAGATAAGTGATATAGTGTGCTAAACTTGGATAAGGTGGAGAAATAGGTGCGGTCCCAAAAGGTGACATGATGAGTTATGCACAACCGATTAGAGATAGGATCCCAACATCTATAACCCTTGTTTTCGACGCCATAACCCAAGAAACAACATAAACGAGCTCGGGGTTGAAGCTTTGTCCGCTTATGGGGAATGAGGAGGACAAAGCCCACACAACCAAATGAATGGAAAAACTACAATCAAAGGACTGGCCAAATAGACGCTCGAAGAGACTAACATCATGGAGGACTGACGGGGGTAACCAATTAATGTTGTAAATGGCCGTCAAGGCTGCTTACCCCCAACACCGCTGAGAGTGCATACCAACTCTCCTATAATAAAATATATTGATATATTATATTTCACATTTTGGATTATTCAGATTTGAAGTATACTGATTCAAATTAATCCGAAAATTTAAAATTTATAAAATATTCAATCCGAATTAATTCAAAAATTCGAAAAATCCGAACAAAATTTTTAATTTTGTTTTGGTTCGAATCAAATATTCAAATTTCGGATATTTATGGTCGTTCCTAAATTTAAGTAAATGGGACAACAAGTTTTGCATATCATAAGAAGGCTTCAGCACAGATATACGACTGACAAGGTAATGTTGGGGATTTTATTGGGTTAACAACGAAAATGGCCGGATAAACTCTGTATCGTGATAAGCTCACTTTCCGAATACGATATTTTGACTCAATTCCTACCAAGGGTTACACAAAATTCGTATTGGGATAATACAAAGTTCAATCTCGAATTCTGGTAGAAAATATCGAGACAAGGTGAACGTACGGAATAAAATGTGTATGATGCTATAATTTCTTGCAGTGATAAACACTGAATGTGTTTTTCTTGTTTTTATATATCAATAATTGTTAGCAAATGAGACCAACCCATCTATTTAAAGATCATAAGTAACTTTCATTCAAATTGAACTTACACAATAGTTTAATTTAAATTTCAATTTCAAAATGAATGGGTGTGTTCTCTCAATTCAAATATTAATTTGAATTCAAAATAAATTGGTGTATTGATTCAATTCAAACAAAATTTTGAATTCATAATTTAAATATTATTAGACACATCAATTCATAAATAAACACAATTTTGAAATTAAAATATTAGGAAAATTTCAGAATAACATGTACCACCTAGTCATGAGCCCATGACTAAGTTAGCTATTATATTATGTCCCATAAATTTAATTACAGAACTTCCAGATTTGTAGACGGCAGACTTAGTCATGCCCATGACTAAAGCCGTATCAACAATCTGTCCCAGAATTTGTGTTACTTGTCAAAATCATATTGAAATTAGCTTCTTCGAGTGCGCACTCCACGCATCCCATCTCGAAGTTCACTTAATCCCAACATTTATTGGTCTATAGAATAAATCCAATCACGCTAAAATTACCAACAATCCTCCTCAATTTCTGTGTAATCCTTGATTTATTCACAAATTAAATCACAACCATATACAATAAATTCATGCATAAGCGAGAATGTCACGAAGATTGAATTTTTGCATTAGTACAATACACGTTACAAATATTTGAGAATCAGGGTGTCGCTAAGGATTGAACCTTTTCAACTCATTTGAATACATGTAAGCAAAGTACACAAGAATTTACATTTCCCTTGGTTCAAACTTGTCACTTTTCAAGCCATATGTCCATATCCATTCGCGAGCACATCGAAAGCAAGTCCGAACTTTCTTAAAATGGAAAAACTTCATGCTCGTATAGGTAGCTCCTTTAGTCTCGCTTCTGCATAAGCAATTTTTCAAAGGAGTTATTAAGAGATATAATCTCAACCTACGGTTCTTGAAGGTCTGAACGCATACCCGGGATGTCTGAATAAAATGCGTTCCAATTTTCTCAATATGAGCTTTCCACATTAAATTCAGCTTCTAGTGTCATACTAGAAAGGAATTGGGTGTCTCCCACTAGGAAGATTTAATGGACTTCAATCCCATCCCAATCGACAACTTGTGCACTAAGTCTCTTGCCAACCCTTTTGTCAAACAGTTAGCTAAATTATGTTCTTACCGAATAAACTCAACCGATATCACCCGATTCATGATTAAATCACGAATTATGCTATGTCTCACACCTATGTGTCGAGACTTACCATTATAGATTTCACTATAAGCTTTAGACATTGTTGAGGCGCTATCACAACGAATAGAGATGGGTGGCACCGGTTTCGACCATAACGGAATCTCATATACCAGGTTATGAAGCCATTCAGCTTCCTTTCCAGCCGCGGCTAATGCTACAAATTTAGATTCCATCGTAGAACTTGTGATGCACGTTTGCTTCTTGGAAGCCCAACAAATTGCAACTCCCCCAAGCAAAAACGTCCATCCAATGGTGGAAGAATGATCTTTTGCATAGCTTATCCAACTCGTATTCGAGTATCCTTCCAAAAACGAAGGAAAACCAAAATATGACAAACCATAATTAACAGTATTTTAATATTTATCCCCCACACAATTTGAAGAACTTCCCCAATTGCAGTATGGGTGTGCAGATTGTTGCTGTCAGACAACCTGCACACTTGTTGGCGTTTCGAACGCTACTAATGATATAATGCAATATTGGTAATAGCCACTTAATCTAGTAGCTGACAAAAATCCATGGAGAATTCTCACATCCATTTCAAATTCACTCATAAGGTTATAGAAATCAGATTACTAACAATCTGAATCACCTTATCTGAAAATCATTTTGTATAAAATTTCAAATGTTTCAATTCATATAATCTCAATTGCATCAATTTCATATATTGAAAACATCTATTTCACAAACTTCAGCCATAAAATCAATCAAACATTTGAATCGAATGTAAGTAAAGTAACTTAACATTAACATGCTTGAATTTACAGCATAGAGTCGACAATCTACATAAAGTCGATCATATATTATTTATATACAAACATGTCTTAATCATTTAAGACATTAAATACTAATTACTTGCAGTAATTATTATCAACTATGTACACAATGTCTTGAGACTCAAGACATAAACCACTAATTATTTACAATAATTGTAATTCATTCAACTTATTTTTCTTTGCACGGTGATTCCCCTTTCCAACTTGGCAATCACGCACTATTAAAAAAATGACTTTTTATAGCGGTAAAAAATCGGTAACGAAAACCCAATTTTTGTGTAAAATAGCATTTTGTGTCGACTCTGTTACGGATTTTGACCGCTACGAAAAATCGCGGTACAAAAAGTCTATGTTGCAACAAATTCCGTAACAAATAAGTGGCGGTCAACCCTCAAAATAAGCACGTGTTTATTGTATTTGTTGCGTTTTTTGTACGTAACGAAAGCATCGATCATATTTTTGGAACAACATATGTCCGTAACAAAAAATTCGGAACAAAAGTTAAATCCTGTCAGAGAATTATTTTTTATGACATATTTTCGAAACAAAAAATAGGGTACAAATACGGAATCTTGTCAGAAAACTTTTTGTTGCAATCTTCGTCTGCAAAAAAAAAATTGCGTTACAAAGGTAGTGTCATGTCAGAGTATTGTTTGCTACGAAATTTTTCCGCAACAAAAAATTCGGTACAAATGTAATGCAAACGTAAAACACTTTTTGTACCGGCCATTGTCTGTAATGAAAAATCCGCTACAAAAGGTGTCCATGTCTCAAATAAGGATTTTGTCTCCACGAATAAAATCCAATTGTTAAATTTGTTATTGATCAATTTGGATCACAAATAATTTAAAACATAATATTATCATAATTAATCTGAAATCCTTGTTCATATCTGCACAATAACATCAATCCAACAACATTCATATTCGTGTCAAAAATAGAATACTAGACGTTAACAGTACTTTAAAACATCTTCAAAAATCACCATGCCATAGACCATAACAACCAACTAACAACTTGCTAACACTTGATCCCCAAATCCAAAAGTAATACGTGAATAAATAAATATGGTATCAAACTGCAGTACAATCCTAAGGTCGACTAACAGATGCAATTATGAACGACCAAGCTCATCGAGTGCAAAATAACAGATGAAGCAATCAGAGGCGGTCAACCAACTGCAATGTGTTTCCAATGATGTATAAGAATTATATCAGCAACTAAAGTAATATAATTCCCAAAAGAACAAACATTTTAAAAAAAATTGTACAACGTTGTAAGTCCACTTGATGTTTTCTATGTCGAGTACTCATCGAGCATTTCACTCCGGAATTACATGGGAGAATAAGTACGGTCTCCGGGATTGTAACAGCGGTAACAAATGTCTTGACAATGGTTAGGGTATCACCTATATAAAAAGGTAAAACCAAAGCTAATATTAGAAAATATGATATCTCTAAACAACATGAAATAATATAATAAAATATACAAATATATCAAGAAAATGTTAGTAATAGAAACTTTACAATAAAATAAAGTTATCCTTCAGTTTGATCAATGGACACTATCTTAAATATGAATATAGCAATGTCTACAACCGAAAGCACTAATCAAGAAGTCTGACCACCAAACATTAGGAAGATAAACCACACAATAATAAACTACGAAACAACTCTCCCAACACCGATAAACCAACATTTATAAACCACCACAATCTTATGATGTTAATTTTCTCCCTTTCTTGAGTCTTTAGTGTTTTCTACTAAGCCGAACAATAGGTTTATCAAAATTTAAACTAAAGTAGCCAGGAGCAAAAGTTATTATACTAGTACTGTAAACTATCACCATTATTAAGTTACGCCAAATAATAAAATAAATATCCATGAACAGCCCTATACTAATATAAATAAAAGCAAGACTAATCTATCTAGCAAAATAATTAATCATTGAGCACTTACCGTAATATAATTTAAACAAACAACAACAACAAAGATAATCAATATTGCAGTAACAAAAATTGCAATTTAACAATTAATGGCAACACGCTAATTTAGACTAACTTGAGGCAATTAACAATATAGTAGTTACATAATTACGACTATTTTAATAAATATAATCAAGTAGACAACCTCCAGCAATAATATGTACTGAACCAGTCTGCAGCTAAAACTGCTCTATCTTTCTCTTTTCTTCATCATCTTTTTCCCACTTAATTAAAGAGTTTAAATCATTATCAAGCTGACGAGATATAAGGTGGAACCCATTAAAGTTATTTATTTTCTACATTCCTCAACTCATATTTAATTTTCAAAGATGACAGATTGTGCAACATCAATTTCAAATGTCTGTAAACACACTTATTAGAAGAAGACAGGTAGCTCACTATTAGTTATTATAAAATGTCCTTCAATTTAATTATACCAAAATCAAGATCAACTGATATTTTGTAGTATAGACAATATCAATGTTTGTAAGAGCAAAAAGAACAGCACACCAACATACATCTACTCTGATTCAATAGAACTTCCCTGAAAAACATACAAGACATTCAAGTGGCAAACAAATAAGTACTTCCAAAATCAATACTACTCTAAAAACAACATTTTGGCACTGAAGAAACCGCGCCAAAATGGTGTCAAATTTAGTTAATTGGCACGGTTCTTGGCGCTGTAACATTCCGTTACAAAATTCTAGTTACTATTCAATAAGTGACGGGGATTAGTACCAATAGAAAGCTGTAGCGCCAAAAACGGCGCCAACATAAAATTAAAAAAAAAAATTTGGTGCCGAAATAAGCACCTACCTTTATTTTTATTTTTATTTTGGCACTGAAATCTGCGCCAATAAAAGATTTAAAAATAAAACTTTGGCGCCGAAATCAACACCAATATAGAATATAGAACTAGAATCTTGGCGCTGAATTCGGCGCCAAGTATAATAAAAAAATAAATAATTAAATAAATGAATCATAATATATAATATCTACCATTTTGAGAAGAACTCACTCTTTGCATGAATTATGTTGCAATATAAATTGAAACAATGAAAAAACCTATTGAGATGAGAGCTGGTCTTGTCGGAATACAAAAAACACTTGACATTGAGTTTAAGTAGTTTGGTAAAATTAAAATTGGCTACATTAGCTTCAACGCCATAATCTGGAGGGAAAAAAAAAATTGTAATATAAAACTTCTTTTACCATCCTCAAGTGCTCCATTTTGCATCCCAATGCCAATATTGCTGAAGACCCAACAAAAAATATGGTGATATTTGACATTCAAGGTGCATGAAAAGATATGCAAAGATGAAAAAATCATGTACGTATATGTACAAGGATCCATGTGCCAACAAGAATTTCAGCACCTGCTGCAAGAGATTTCACAATAGTCCATCCGTACCCATTCTCACAAGCTACACCTACAATAGTTGCTCTATTAATTCCTTATACCCAGATCAATACACAATGTTAATGAACTCTAACATAATCAAATTTTAAGACAACTAAGCATTGAGCAGAAAGCCACAATCTTACTAATGAAAACACATTGAAGTGTAAAATGAACAAGTCATCCAACAAAACACCAGTTATCAAGACTTTGAGTAAGAGATGACAATTTAGAAAGTAAAGTACCTTCTCAAAGTGATCCACAATGTCCTAGTTGTCTTCAAAATACTTTTTGATGTCAAAGATTTGGAGATTTTGGACGTGTGGTCGGTATCTGTACCAATTAAATTTCGTGTAGTTCATTTAATCCAACTGTAAAGTGGAAATAGTATAATGATGTATACTCAAACAATAGTCTGGTGTTAACACATGTATGGTATATGCTTATGATTTTGCATGGAAATAGCCATCCATATATGCAGTGAACAATCACCCATATATGTATTTATATTCAAATTACCTACAAAAAAAATTCCATGTTTTAACATTGTTTTGATTTCTTTCCCAACATAAATATTCAACTCTAAAGGGGGTAAGATTAGTTTCATTCATCTTCTTTGAAAAGCAACTACGACCATTACGCCGTATAATAGGCCAATGCCATCAGGGCATTATCAAGAATGTAGTCATGATCGATACTAAATGCATAATCTGCAGTAATGCAATTAAAAACCACATCACATAGGTCACAAAAGTGATCAACAAGTTGCCTTTCAATGAGTTTATGAATTATTAACCAATAGACACACTAATGCAAAATTCATATTTAACAATGCCAACAAGAACATATTTTCCAAAGCATTTGTATTTAATAGACTTCCATTTCATATGATTGGGGAACTATAAATTTCTCACAAATGGAAAAACTCCTAGATTGATTGCAATGTTAGATGTTGACATAACGAAAAAAGGTAGCATGTAGTGACTGCAATTCTATTGGCATGTAGATCTTTCATTTTTGCATTATAATGAAATAATTACCTTTGAATCCTAATTTGTGTTTAGGGAAGGGTTGCATAATCAAAGTTAATTTTTATATAAAAAGATCGAATGATACATTGCTTAGTTCTTAAAAGTATGAGCAATATGAAAAGGGGCAACTAACAAGAAGTAATATATCCTTCCAAGGGAATTAAGCCGAAAATTTCATATTTAAAACAAAAACTTCACTGCACCAAGGGAAAATAGAAATCTCATCAATGGTGAAGAAAGTTTAGATATTATTAAGCATCTCAAGAGATGAATGAAAATGGTTGATGAATTGAATTTTGCCAATTGAAATTTACCAACAGTCCGCAGCAGTGAGAAATTTATCAAGTTGAAAACAATTCAAGCAATAATAAATGTGTGTTTGGTGTTGTTCTCTCTGAAGAATATAAGAGCAAATTATCAATATATCTATATAGGTATTGCCACGCTTCCAAAGTAAATTTGGAAATGTATGGGAAATACTATAATGTACTATTGCTTATAAACACAAGAGCAGCAGCAAGGAGGACACGAATACAAGTAAAACTGGAAAGAGTTCAGTGATAAATTCAAGCAAATAAAGAAAAGATTATTATACCTTTTAAAGATCTGAAAAAACGTGGCTATGGATGTACCTACCAGCGGGTGTTATTTCCGAAGAGATTCCGACAGCCTTGACAGTGCTACCTTCGGGCGGAACCGTAAAGGTCCTCTTCTGGCGGCGGAATCCGGATTCCATCTTTGAGAGAGAGGCTGCAACTTCGAAAGAGAAAGGAAGAGGGGAAGGAGAAAAAGAAATCCAAAAAAAAAAAGAAAGCGAGAAAAGAGAGAATGAAGAAAAAGGGTGAAGGACGGCGGGTAGGGTTTGTATGTTTTGTCGAGGCGCAGACTTTTGAATTACTTTTTTTAAAAATTTTAAAATACAATAATAATTGTTTTTTTATTTTAATTTATAAATATAATAGTATTAGCCTTGTTATGGTTTGAACTTTACAAAATATTTTTTAATTTTAAAATAATTTTATGTAGATTTTTTAAATGTTAATTATAATATTATTTTTTGTTACGGTTTAAATTACGAAACAAATATATATATATATATGACAATACTTCGTCTCTATATCTAATTGTTACGGATATATTACCGAAATAAAAAATTTTATTTTAAAATTTTAAAATAAGTATATATATATTCTTTTATATATAATTATAATATTTATTTAATTTTTGTTACGATTTAAATTGCGTAACAAATATATATATGACGATATCTCGTGCCAAATGTTATTGTTACAGATAAATTACCGAAACAAATACATAAAAAGTTTGACCAATAATAGAAACTTTTTGTCCCGAAAAATTTCTAAGAAAAGCTTCTTTTTGTGACGGAATTTTTTTTACGGACAATATACCGCTACAAAAAGCCAATTTTTTGGTAGTGACGTTTGATGTGACCGGATTTTCCACAAATCCAATAAGCCAAATTTGACTTCTTTATGGATTTTCTATTGAATTCAGAAAGCTTGCATTCTTTATCATGATTGAACTTGAAATTCTTTTCTTTATGCTCATCGACCATGTTTACAGATGGTCCTACAATATCATTATCTTGATCATTTTCCTGCATTCTTATAGATTCTTCTATGCGCAGATGGCTTCCGAGTTCTACTAATGCCAACTTTTTCTTCTTGTGTTTAAGCGTTCGCTTAAATTCCTTCCATACAGGAGGCAATTTATCGATGATGCATGAAACAACAATGGATTCATCCATCTTCATGTCGTGCTGCATCAACTGACCAAGGATATGAAGGAGCTCGTTGTACTGCTCGATCACATGCCTCGAATCAACCATCTTTTAATTGTTAAAGTCACTTACCAAGAATTTCTTGCTTGAAGCGTCTTCAGCCATGTATTTAGATTTGAGTGCTCCCAAAGATCCTTGGCTGAATCCATATTTTGATAAATATCAAAAAATGGATAAGACATTGCATTGAGAATATGACCACGGCAAATGTAGTCATTATTCTCCTATTTGCTCCTGCGATGCGTTGCCTCCAAAGTTTCATCTTCGGTTTCCTTGGGGCAAATTTCGACAATGCCTTTGATTAATTGTGTTAATTTTAATTTTAATTTCGATCTCAATATTAATATTGTTTTAATTTTATTCGAATTTTGCTTCCACTAATTTCGATCCGACAATATATTCACAATTTAAATTACGGGACAAATTATATATAAGTATATTAATAGCCGACTTATCAATTTATTTACAATATCTAGTCTAGCTGCGGATCTAAGGAGGAGTTTGAGGGGCACTAGTCCCCAAACATAAATTTTTATTTAATGTTTTAGTGTAAAAATATATATTTTTTATTATAATATAATTATAGTAATTTGTCTTTTCTAAAATATTAAGATTATAACTTTGTTATGCTTTTTTTTTTATTATTATTTTATATTAATTGGATTACTATTGTGATAAGAAAAATCAAAGAAAGAGTGAAAACAATAAAAATATATCGATGGTTAGTAAGTGGGTATCTTTCTTTAGTCGAGTTTCCCCAAATTTTATTATTTGAATTTTGTGTTTCTCGAAAAATATATATATATATATATATTTTTCTCATAAAACATCTCATTATTTTCATACCAAATTCAAATCAAATTTATTTTCAAACTCATCAAAAGAAACACACGCTCGTTTCAGTATTATCTGAATATTTATATTTAGCTAAGCGAAATTATAGTTTTGTGCACAAAAAAATTAATCCATGCATTTGAATTATTGATATAAGTATTTGGTATTTTAAATAAAATTCAGATATGGTTATTGCGACATTTGAGCTTTCGAATATTATTTATTGACACGCTTACTTGTGCGGGCGGCTTTAGAATAATAATAATAATAATACAGTAAGGATCATATGTTAAAAAAAAAAATATTTCAGCACTATGCTCAAGGTTATTAAAATAAATTATTCTAATTATATAAATAATATAATATAATTATATAAATTAAAATAATTAGTTTCAAGTATTCAGCAATCATGCTGAATAATTATATTGAGCATGTGATCTAGTCTGATAATTAATAATAATAATAATAATAATAACACTAATCAAAAGGAAATATTTGAAGAAAATGACTTCCCACCAACAAACCTTAATTTATTCTACTCTCATTAAATAAGTCATCAAAATAATTATTTCTATTTTTTTTTATTTAAATTATTGAATAGACATGTCGATACTAATTTTAATTATTTCTTGTGGCTAATCATTTATTAAAAAAAAAATATTTTATGATTAAATTTATATTTATTTTAAAACTTATTGAATGGTTAGTGATAGATGAAATGGGCCATAACAATTAATTATTTAATTAATTGGGTCATCAACTTATTGAAACTTGAAGAATGTTTGGTAATTAGCTTCTGAACAAGTTTTAGCCCCCGTTTGGATTGGCTTTCTGGCAGGAGTTTTTGACTTATACTTTTTTTTTAAAAAAAAAAGCAGTTTGCACCTGTTTGCATTTGATTTCTGTTCAAAAAATAGAAGCACTTTTTGAAGGTGAAAAATGCTTTTTTTTTCAGAGGCACATTGAGGGTAGCTTTTGAAATAAGCAGAAGTATTTTACAATTAAAATTATTGTTTTATCCTTAATAATAATAATAATAATAACAATAATAATAATAATAAATACAATAATATAATATAATATAAAAATAAATAACTTATATATATTATATTTTAATATAAATTTAAAAATATAATTAATTTATTATTTTTAATTTATGTATTATATTTGGATTAAAATTTAAAATTTAAATACCGAATGTAAATAGGAGTATATAAATTTTTTAATTATATTTAAATTACTAAATATAATTTATAAAATTTTAAAATAAATTATAAAATACAAATTATATAATATTATACTGTAGTTTTATATTTAATTGATATATTATCCTTAAATTAAAATTTTAAAATATAAATAATAAAAATTTAAAAGTACATTTTTTATACTCTAATTTAAAATCTTTAAATATAATTTATAAAATAAAATTAAATTATAAAAGTGTTATAGAAAAATACTAGTATTATATTAACCGCATGTCCTTTTAAGTAATTTTAACAGTTTAAAAACACTTTCAATTGTATAACGTCCAAACAATTTTTTACGAAAAACTGCTTTTATAATGATTTGTCTAAACACAAAATCGAACTGCTTTTGCTTTTGGCTTCTGCTTATTTTTTAAGTCAATCCAAATGGGCCTTTAGTTTTTTATCTGTTTGACCAATCAAAAATTTAATTACTTAAATAAGTTATTTGAAACAACCTATTTGACCTAAAAGTTAATTTTTTATTTGATAAAAATATTTTCACCCAAATTATATATATTGTATAATTGCACTTAAATATTAATTATTCTCCTTACACATAGTTATATTTATTATTTTAATGTATTTATATTATTTATTATAATTTTAATTTTAAATTTCAAGTAATTGAAATTATACGTTATTTTATAAATTTATATTTTCTTTGTAAAATATATTAATTTATAAAATGAAATAAAAATAAAAATATTATTAATTTATTTATATATATACTTATTATCTAAATTTTATATTATATATAAATAAAATAGATTACTTATAAAAATGGTGAAGCTGACGGATATCTAAAAGGATAAGTTATATCTTGTAGTATAAATACAAAGTTCCAGATATTTTTAAAATATTATATATATATGTATATATATTAAAAGACAAAAACGGGTTTTTATTTCCCTCAATTAAATTTTCTTTTTTGAATAATTAGTGATGCATATTCTTAAAATTTTAATTTTTAAACGAGACGATAATTTAGATCATTTAACATAGTACTGTTTTTTGTTTACGTTTTATATTTTTTTTTTTTTTTTTTGAAAAAATATTTTTATAACTCAGATATAATTTTGAGAATCTGCATCATTTTTTATTCATAATTTAAAATTTGCATTAGAAAGTCTTTTAAAAAGTACGAGATTCTATACAATTTTTTTTTAAAATGTAAAAGAATTTCATACAATTTTATTTTCTTAAACACAAAAAGAGTTTCATATAATTTTTTAAATCATAAAGCAGTATGAGTAAACTTTACAAGTGGATTATTAGCAAGTTTATCTTTTTTTATTATTATTAAATCTTTGTGATTTACTATTTTTGGGTTTTGTTCCTTTGTCATGTTCTATTTCTTGGTAGACGTATATAACACAATAATAGCAATAGTATCAAGTTGTAATAAAATACCACGGCATCGAAAAAGTGGTGCAATCTTGACTAGGTTCTAGTTACTTGTCTTTTTCGAGATTTAATTAAGGGTCGAAGAGGATCATTTCTTTGATCACGTCACATTTACCGAATCGATAAAAAATAATATATATATGTAATATTTAAGGTACTTTTAGGGACAATAAAATCATAACAGTATCAATGTATCAAAACACAACTGTAAAAAAAAAATGGTCTACTTAAAATCTCTTTATAGACTTTTATTTAAATTTGAACTAAGTTAGATTTAAACTATAATTTTAATGTAGTTGTATCTTTCAAAATTTTCTAACATTACTTTAATTGCATTCAAATTACCATACTTCAATGTCAATTTCTCTTGAACCATGATGGTTTGTTTGTATCATTGTTCAAATGATGTTCGAAGAGTGTGCACACACATATGAATAGGGCCGGTCTTGGCTGGGCGAGATGGGCGCCCGCCCAGGGCTTATGATAAAGAGCCCA